TTGAGAGGCATTTGCAAATGGGAGCAGTTGAAGTTCTTGGTTTACTAGTCAAACTTAAATTTCTTGGGAGTGTGTGCAAAACTCTTTAATTTCTTTTAATGTGTGTGTAACACTTAATGAGAGGAGCAGTTAAAACCCTAATTGTGTGTACACAGCTAATGCCTAACAGTTTTCAGACAATCTGTTTAAAGCCTCAGAGTGCTATAGCAATGCAAATAGTAATCTTCTTGCTTCGAGTGGGATTTATAGTTGTGGGTAACTTTGCATGCTCAAAAACAAGGCTTTTCAGGACCTAATGTGACTTTTTTGGGGAGTGGGAAGTTAGAACATGCTAAATGCTTTAAGAATTTAATGAGAATTGTAAATGTACTCAGATAAGCATATAAATTCCCCAAGCACAGAAAATACAGTAGGGCAAAAATTGTTATTTTGGCCTGGAGTTTTGAATCAAGTTCTGGCATAAGGTACCAAGTCCAGCTGAGTTTTTACCAAGGATTCATTTTATGCAGTGGCAAAGCCTGTTAGTCTCTCAGAATAGATAACTATAAGTTATTAAAATCAATAAAATAATTTACTGGTTGCATGAACAACTTCTAAGTCTTTGCTTAAATATGGAAACTGAACTAGTTTAAGTAAATGTTAACACTATGTTGTTATTTCTACATTACTGCTGATGTGAAAGGTGTCCCTGCCCATGGCAGGGTAGTTGGAACTAGATATTTTAAGGCCCCTTCCAGTCCAAATCATTGTGTGATTCTATTTTTTTTTTTATGGGCCTGTGAGAATGCAGAATATTTGAAGACTGTGAGAGCAGTAAGCATAGTGAGTCCTTGATGTTTCAGAAAATGCAAACTATGCTAAATAGTTGAAACTTTGGTGGTTTTGTTAGAGGTTTTTTTGGTTTTGTTTTGTTTTTTTTTTTTTTGTTTTTTTTTTGGTTTTTTTGTTTTTGTGTTTTTTGCTTTTTTAGTTTAACCAATTACAGAACAATTACTGAGGGCACTAAACCACTATTTTTTGTTACTTTTAGTCTTTGTAGCACAGGCTTATTAAACATGATTTTTATTCTTGTGTTCTGAAGTGATGGAAATGATGAAGCTATAAAGAAATTTTACTGTATACACATTCATATAACTTCTAGAGAACTGTCTTAAGTGTTAGGACAATCACAACCAGTTATTGCCTAGAATAGTTTTTAAATGATAAATGTTAGGAAACTGCATTTTGGTGATGTGCTTTGGTGGGACCATGCCCTGACACAGTACCACCATACTCTGTTTGGTTTGAACACTGGAGGATTGATGGACTGCAGGGGTTGGATGGATGATGCTTTAAGGGATTGATTGACTATGATAGTTGGGTGTGTGATGCTTAAGTGTGTATTGTTCAGTTCCTATTTGGCAAGTGAAATAAGAACCAATCTGGTTACAGGTGCCGAGTTCATGGTCTGTTAGTGCTCTAGGGTTGGTTGTTTCTTTTTTGAAAAATAAAGTCTTATTCCCTGGGTGCTCTTTGTGAAGCTTCAGTCTGTGAATGCAGCAGTGTAATGGCATAAGGTATGAATTTTCTGTAAGTTTTCTCTTACTGCAATTGGAAATGTAGTTATTTGAACAAGGCAGCTTTTTCAGTTTGGATGTACAATTCCAGGGACCTAGGAAACCAAACTGGCTTGCAAGTTATAATTTACCTTGTTCCCAAAATTAAAGGGATCAAAAATTCTTCTCAGTTTATTAGTTCTGTTGAAGTAATAGTATGTTCCTGGGTAAGCATTATTCAGAGCTATCTTGAGTGACAGAGTAGATACCATATTCTTCAAGTTTTTGTAACACAAATATTAGTGTGGTTCTTAGATGAAAAAGTTACTTTCCTCTTAAACTGAGGTTGAATAACAAGAAAAACATTACTGATTCCTCTGGTACAAAATATTGCAGTGTTGAATAACTGACCATACTACTTTCTTTAGGAGATGAAGTGGAATTAACTGTCCTGAAGACTAATCATTGTTTTTCAAAAGATAAGGTTATGTGATGGCTATATTTTAGAAGATTAACTAGTGATTAGGAAGAGAGATTAATTTCTTTTAGGATTCTCTTAGATTAAGGTAGGAGGTGCATTTTGGTTCAGACTGCATTCTGCTATAGTCAAACAAACAAACAAACAAAAAAACCCCAAACAAACAAAAACCAAAACCCCAAACAAAACAACCAAAAAAACCTAACCAAACAAAAAACCACACATAATTAACCCCAAACCCACTTAGTTTATCCTAATTGAGACAGTTATGAGCCAGAACTAATGCTACCAGTATGAATTTAGTTTTTTTGACTGTGCAAGCTAGAGCAGTATGAAACTGTTTTGTTTCTGGTGCTGGCTAGAATGCGTGTGTGTATTATTAACTTGCACTAGTTGAGAGATCAGATCCTGTAATCCAGTTATTAATGTAAATGGCTTCAAAATACATACTGGAGCCTGTAAGTTTCTTGAAAACTTGTGTGAAGTGATAGGATTTGCGAGCTCTTTGTGATTAGGTCTGGTATGGGAACATCAGTCTTTGTAGCCCTGAACTGCCAACAACCTTTGTCCTTTATTTTACCTTCAGTTAAAAAGAAAAAAAAGAGTGGGGGCTTGAAATAGGGAAGTAAATGAATGTTGGCTAATGGCCATGTCTTTTCCTAGAGCAAGAAAAAAAATCTTGGAAAGATAGATGAGATTGTGGACCTGGATTTGAATGATATGTGATGTTTTGTAAATTATTTATCAGAGCAAGCCTTTCTGAAATGGATAAAGCACTGTTATGTGAAAGGGAAGGAGAATGGTATGATTGCCAAGAGGAGATTTTTACTGGATACCAGTAAAAGAATAATCTTTCTTTTGAAATTATTTGTATTAAACTTTAAGTAGCAGTTAAGAAATGTCCACAAGATGCTGCAAGTTGTGTTTGGATAGCTCTGGACCATTTTTCTGCTGGGGATTATTGGTACAGTTTGTGAGGTTTTGTGTTGATACTATTTTTCTCCAATAACAAATCTGATCAAAGCATAATGATGGGCCAGATCTGTTGAATTATGATATCTTACTGGCAAGATCATTAGCTAACTAATCTTATTTTATTTGTATATGAGTTGTTTTTTTAACAAGTGAAAAATCCTACAAGTAATTGGTATAACCTCTCCCTATAGAATTACTGATCTCATTCAGTGCCATCCTGCTAAAACTGGCAAGGTACATTAATAATTATTTTCTTTTAAGCATGACTACTTCAGAAAGCTGTCAGTATTGGAACTTGAACAGTTATTTTTGTGCAGGTAGCAATTTAATATTTCAGCTATGCATATGCTCCATAATGGAGGCCTTAGTAGGGCTAAGGACTGTAGATGGTGCTTGTTCCTGTTAGTTATTGGAAGGTAATAGAGCAGTTCCCTTTAGTAGTTGGTGGAGGAAAACACACATTCTATACTTAGGAAAAGTCTTTGGCTCTGCTTATCTTTTATGTATATTCTTTGGGGTATACAAGTATGCCAATATTTCAATAATTGGATTGTGAAGACCTGAGCAGTGAGCAGAGCTTCTGAGGACTAGGCTTTCAGAAAATGTACAGTGCCTCAGGGTATGTTTGTGTGGAAGTGGCTGTAGGCTAGGGTAAGGATGTGCGTGCTCCTCTTGGATGGCTAGGACAGCTTTACCTTGCTGCTGTCAGTGTCTTCAGAATCTGCTGCTTGACTCAAGATGATCATAAAGCTTAACATGAAAGTAGTTTCAGTATTTCTGTGTTATATTGTGTTGAGATAGAAGGGCATATCTACATGGAACTGATTCCTTCTCAAGAATACCCTTAAAAGCAAGCATTCCCCACTTCCCAGGTCTGTAATGGAATATAGATTTATAGGTCAAGTGAAGATAGTCTGTCAGCTTTCCAAGTATTGTAGCATAAACTGGAAATGTATTTTACATTTGCAAACCAATAAATAATTACTTTGATATGTAAATTGAAGGTAAATCCAATAAATAATTACTTTGAGATCTAAACTAACACCATTGCTTACCTAAATCTGGAAACTATGGATTTGTGAAGAAGCTATTTTAATTTGAGTTAGTGTGATTGTAGCTGCTAGAAGCCACTCTGGGAAGGTACTCTGTTATTTGAGTATCCCGCTTGGGAGAAATAGTGCATATAATTTCATCTGTTACAGACCTATCTCTAAAGAGATACTTTCACGTAGTCTTTAATACATGAATATTTTGGATGATGGAGGTAAGTAGTTTCATGAAAGCTCTAAAATTTAATGCAGAAACTATTAAATAGGTATTTAATCTCTGATAGTTTGTCACATAGTTAATTAGGAAGATAGAAAATAAAGTTGTATCAGTTCTGAAGTCCTTCCTGAAAGGTTCTGTGTATTGCTTCTGGAGGTGGAATGATTCCCGTGGGTTTTTGTTACAATTGTGTCATAGCAGATGGGACTCATCAGACTGGAATGGATAACCTTTGATCTGTTGAATCCAGTGTTTTAACCCTAAAATGGTAGTTTCAGAGGGAGGCGTGAGTTATATTGGATTTCCAAGTAAAAATATATGTCTTAAATTTGGGAGTTTTTAACAAGTTTCTGTTTTCTTGTGGCAAGGAGTTACATTCATCTGTAGTCATTCATCTTGCTCTTCGAGGACTAGTACATTTGAAGAACAAGTGAATGCATTCTGGAGTTGTAATTGTGTGTGCAAGAACAGTGTCTTAAGTGCCAGTTTCTTCTTGTTTTTGTTAACACTATTCTTGGAGGTGTTTGCGTGGATTAGGATGCAAGGTTGAGTATTATGGGCCAACTTAAGGTTTATGAAATATAATAATAAACTTTTTTATTCCAAAGTTAGTAAAGTGGATGTTTATCCACTGGTAATTAATATGTGGTGGTACAAAATATCAGGTAAAAGCCAATGAAGCTGGTGGGTTTTGGTGTTTTGGGTTTTTTTGCTAGCTAACTCTGTCTGTTTATTTTTAAATCTAGCCACGAGCTGATCCCATCCCGATATGTAGCTTTTGTTTGGGAACGAAAGAATCAAACCGTGAAAAAAAGCCAGAAGAGCTCTTGTCTTGTGCAGACTGTGGCAGCAGTGGTAAGTTGGCTGAATTTACAAATAGTAGAAATGTTTAAGTATGTTTTTAAAAGTATTTTGAACTTCTGAACCTCATTCTTTCTTTGAACATACATAGATTGAGAACTAAGGCAAACTGAGAGGGAGAGAGGAGTGGTGGAAGAGATTTGTGGTTGGTTTTTTTTAACTAGAATTTTGCTATCTGGGTAACTAGGATAATTACAAATGAAAGGTGTAACTTCATCTTTATGTCAAAGTATAGAATAAATTAATAGGGAAACCAAACTTGTAAAATGCAGGAATTCAGTTCTTGTTTGGGATCTGTGCTGGCTCTGAAAACTCAGTTCTGCATTGTGACATCAAATGATGATCAAGAATTTTGGTTACATAGATTTGCACCGTTTCAGAAGTTGAGGAATAATTAGAGCAATAAAGACTGTGCAGCAGTCTTTGCTGCTGCATTTCTTGTGTATCCAGGCTGTTTTTTTGTAAAATTCTTGTTCTACTCAAGTGGGAATTTGAATAATACTTCATGTAAGATGCTAAAGCGGTTAGGCACCTGTTACTTGTCAGGCACAAGATAATGACTCTCTACTGATCGCACATCCCGTACTCCTGTGTGTTGCAGCAGCTCTTGTGGACTCCATGTGGCTGTTCTGAGTGCAGGTGCTTCCCTTACAGTGAGCAACTAGGATAATTTTAAACATGAAATACTGTAGCACAGTGTTGCTTTGTGCATGGGTGATACCAAACATGTTCTTGGCCTAGATAATTCCTGATTCACAGAGGGATTTGGTAAGAAACTTGGGCAAATTTTTTCAGCAGATCTATGACAAAAAGCTTTTTCTGGAGCAACTCTATAGTTCTGAAAATTCTCTATCAGCTTACCTATCCTGAAAAAATTCCTGGGTGGAAAATACCTTTATGCTAGAAGTCTATCAGTTGAGTGCACTCCTTTTCTTTAGCTGTGCCAGTAAAAACACTTTTGCTCCCATAAGCTTACAGATGCACTGGTAAGTACTTTTGATAAACCTTTGCAATGCAGATCGTACCATTCCAGGTCAAAGACAGAACAGCAGTGCTGCTTAAAGTCAGAGGCTGCAATATCCAAGTGTTTGGTGCTGCCCCTTTGTGCTGGCACCCAGTTGCATATAAACTGACTTGAGAAGCAAATGTAGCTGAAATGCAACAAGTTGAATCAGTTCTCCATTCCAGTTCACTGCAGAGCTGAAGAAGAGGGAAGTGCTTGGAAGGAAAAGGAACAGAGAAGCAGTAGGGTCTGTGTAAACCTGTCCTACTTTAAAGAAAGCTGGAAGTGGACTTAGGGTTTTGTCGTCTTCAAATTTGGAGTCCATGTGTATCATCGTTTTGTAGGTGTGCTAAAGATAATTCGTCTTGGGTACTGCAATAGCTACATCAATACTTCAGAAAACAAAACAGTATGGATAAAAATGTGTTTTCAGTTAACCAGGATGTGCTTCTCATTGTGTGCTTCTGAATCTGTCACCCCTGATAGTTACTTTGTATGTCAGCCTGTGTATTTTTTTAGTATATTTAAGCCAATTATTATACTCTGAAGTAAGAAAATGCATTTTTCACCCCAGTGTGCAACAGCAAACTCCACAGATTTTAGGCTGCCTTCCTTTAGTGGTTTGCAGGTTTCCTATATTTTCAAAACTGTCTTTGAGATTTGGAAAATTAATAGGATTTGTGTTACTCTGGTGCACAGAGTTTACACGAATCAGGTGAGCTTAGGTATCAGCTACTCTTCTATAGTGTAATAATCCCCTGCAGGCTCTAGGACACTTTAGAACTGGAAGTCTTGACTTTCATGGATCAGCTTCTATTTGAATTAACACCAATACGTTCTCTCTGCCTCATTAAGACTAAATTATCTTTAATTAGTTCCTCAGATGTATTAGATACAAAGAATGAAATGTTGAGACTGCCAGTCAGTTTGCTGGATGGTTAAACTTCAGCTACTGATGCCTGACTAAAATAAAAACCAATCTCAGTGCAATTTATAAATAACAAAACTTCACTCAAGTGGAGTTTTATTGTAATTGGATTTGTAATTTTGCACATTGCAGTGTATCTCAAAGCTGGTCTTGCTATCTAACAAACAGAAAAGAAATTACGTGTTGTGCACAGCAAGCAAATTGTTCAGCTGATCAGAGATTAAATTGCAGTGCCCACTACTGGCATGTCTGTTTTCCTTTTTTGGTTTTGTGTCAAGTTGCTTTTGTCTTTTCAGGTAATGCTTCTGCCTTCTGAAAGCAGACACTAGCTGGATATCCACACGTTTTTGTGGTATTTGGGTAGTGGAAATGAAATGCACTGCTATGTCACTTTGCACAGAACATTTTCTAAAGGAGTAAGACGAGGGATGTCAGATATGAGAAAACAAATCCCGTTACAAAAGCAGACATAGTTCCTTTCAGTTTTTGTTGGGGTTTGTGCTGGGGTTTTTTTCCCCTCCTGCTTTTTCCCTATCTTTTGATTTTGGAAAATCAATACACTTGAGAACCAGGATCGAACTCTACTTCTATTTTCCCAATCGAGATGTGCAGAAGCAATTAAAGAGCTGCTGCTGACAGATTTTTACAA